ACATCACCCTCTTTTATTCAATTAATTATATTGTGTAATGTGCCACCATTCACCTACCCTTAACTTGAGCACTGGAATATTCCAAATAACTTACATGTATGTGCTCCTTCCCTTTGAAATTCTCTCGGTATATATTCAGGAGCAGAATTTCTGGATCTTCATGGTATGCAAATGTGCAGCTTTACATGACAATGCCAACCTGCTTTTCTAAGTGTTATACCAATTTCTAATGCCGTGAGTAATATATGTGGCCCCATGTCATTGTTATTACAGTACTATTATCGGAGTATTTAAATTGGGCCATTTTGGGAGGAAAGAAAATGGAGTCACAATGTGGTCTTGACTTCCATTTTCATGGTCTTTAGTGAGCTTACCACAAGATACTTCTGAAAAAAAGGTTAATGAAAGGGAGCTTATCCTACTAAAAACTAAAGAAATTATAAGTAATTAAGACAGAATGGTGCTAGTGAGGAATAGACAGTTTGACCAATGAAGCAGAATAGAGAATCTGAAACAGATACACACATATGTAGAACTTTGATATATAATAAATGATATTTGATATATGATATATGACTTTTATATATGATATATGAGAAAAGGTGGAACCGTTCACAAACTAGAGCTAGAACATTTGTTTATATAAAGAAAAAGAATCCCTGTGGATGTTTATCTCATACTACGTACAGAAATGAACCCTGGGAAGGTTAAAAATGTAAGCGTGAAATGCAATTCTTTAAAACTCTTACTAGAAAATAGAGGTAAATATCTGCCTGACTTTAAGGAAAGGAAGAATTTATTAAGACACAAGAAGCACTCACCATAAAATAAAATAGTGATACATTTAACTATATTAAAATTATTTTTTTTTGATTCATCAAAGACATCATAAAGGTCATGAAAAGAGACACTACAAACTAACAGAAAATATTTGCAACACCTACAACAAAGAATTAGTAAGATGAATATATAAAGAATTACTTACCAACAAGAAAAAGACAAATTACCTAATAGAAAAATTAGAAAATTGCATAAACACACGTTCTACAGAAGAGGAAATCCTTATATGGATTATATTTATGTATGATGAAATACAAGTAATGTTTTTCAGATGAATCAAAATATTGAGACCAGAAAGCAAAATGAGAAGAGAAAATACATTGAGTTTTCTTTAGTTGCAGCCCTCTTGCTTCTGTCTTCTTCCTTCAATAATGAATGCTTTCCTCTAAAAATGGATTTTACCATTCCACTCTGTGGTCACACATTCATAAGCAGTGCTGATGCTCCAGAGTACTAGATTCTGCAGGTATAAATGTTGATGTTTGCATGTGCATATGCATGCTTGTACACTCATGCACTTACATGCTCATATACACGTAAGTTTATTCTGGATATGTGAATTATGCAGCGCCTTTGTGCTAGGCATTGTACCAGACTCTGAGGAAACAGCAATGAAAAAGAATGAAAAAGACAAAGAATTCCTGGAAGGAGACAGACAGTAAGCATATCAAAACAAGTAAGTTGTTATATTAGAAGGTGGTAAGTGCTTTACATCCACTCTCTTACCATTTTTCAAGATTACAATTCTTGTTAACTGTAGCCACCATGTTGTATCATAGATCTCTTGAACTTATTCTTCCTGTCTAACTGAAATTTTGTGTTCTTTGACCAACATCTGGCCAAACCCAACCTCCTGCCAAACTCCCCAGCCCCTGGTAACCACCATTCTACTCTCTATTCCTGTGAGACAACTGTTTTAGAATCCACAGATGAGTGAGATCACATGATATTTGTCTTTCTGTGCCTGGCTTATTTCACTTAACACAATACCTTCCAGGTTTGTAACAATGTCTATGTTGTTGCAAAGGACAGGATTTCTCCTTCTTCTTTGGCTGAATAGCATTCCATTGTGTATACAGATCACATTTTCTTTATCCATTCATCCATTAATGGACACTTAGGTTGAGTCTGTATCTTGGCTATTGTGAATAATGTTGCAATAAACATGGGAGTGTAGACATCTCTTTGACACATTGACTTCATTTCCACATACCCAGCAGTAGGATTGCTGGATCATATGGTACTTCTAATTTTAAATTTTTGAGCAACCTCCATACTGTTTTCCATAACGGCTATACTAATTTACATTCCGACCAACTGTGTCAGAGTTACCTTCCCTCATGTCCTCATCAACACTTGTTATCCTTTGTCTTTTGATAATAGCCATTGTCACAGGTGTGAGTTGATCTCCTATTGTGGTTTTTATTTACGTTTCCCTGATGATTAGTGATGTTGAGCATTTTTTCATATACCTCTGGGCCATTTGTATATCTTCTTTTGAGAAAGGTCTATTCAGGCCCCTTGCCAATCTTTTAATTGGGTTATTTGTTTTTTTTTTGTATTGAGTTGTTTGAGTTCCTTATATATTTTGGATACACATATCCAAATATATTTTAGATGTATAGTTTACAAATATTTTCTCTCATTCCACAGGTTATCTGTTCACTCTGTTTACTGTTTTCCTTTGTTGAGTAGATGCATTTTAATTTGCTGTAATCCCATTTGTCTACTTTTGTTCTTGTTGCCAATGCTTTTGGTGTCTTATCCAAAAGATCATTGCCTACACCAATGTCGTGGAGCATGGCTTTATGTTTTTAGATGGCCCACCTTCACTTAGTGCCCAACAACCATAATTTTGGTCTCTTAAAAATAATTCATTTATTCAAAAACTATTTGTTGAGTGCCAGGCTTTCTGCTAGTGCCAGGGACCCGGAGATGACAAAGGCAATTCCCTATTCTCAAGGATCCTGCCATCTAGTGGGAGATGTAGAAATGTAATAGAGTAGGAGAATACAATGAGATTAGTGATAGAACAGTGGTAAGAACAAAGCTCTAAGGGAGAACAAAGGATGGTATAACTTAATTTTATCTAGAGAATTCAGGAAAACTTATATAGAGAGGAGGAGTTTATAAGTAATTATGTAGGGAGCTGCGATGGGCATTTCAGGTAAAGAAAGTAACATGTTGGGAGCATAAAAGAGGATGGCACATTGGGTTGACTGCACACTTGTTTGTTAAGGCTAGAGGTTTGGGAGCATGTGTTTGAATGGTGGAAGGTGAGTCTGAAAGGAAAAGCAGTGCTAGATCTTGAACACCCTATACAAGACAACCAGAGATTTGAAATGCGTCCTGTAGGCAGTGTGAATTAGCAAAGGGTTTCTCAACAGGGAAATGGCATGATTAGATTAAGGCTTTAGAATGATTACTATGGAAATGCTTTGGAGAGTAGAGTGGAAGGCAGGAGACTCTGGACTAGGAAACCAGTTGGTCTACTACAATGGTCCTAACAAGTAATGATGATGGCCTATCATGAGCAGTGTGAAAAGAAAGGAGGAGACATCTTGAGGAGCTACTTAAAAGGAATACTTCATCCAGCTTGGTTGAGAGTGACATATAGATAGACAGCAAAGAGTCTGAAATGACTCCCACACATCCGTATTTGGAGATTGGGTGGAAGAAGACACATTACTCCATGTCAAGGAGTAATAGGGGGAGAAACAGTTTGAACAGAAGATGTGTCCAGGGTTTAAGGACTGATAGCATACTGAGGTAGAGATAATTAAAGAGCCATTCTGAAGTTTAGAGTGATGTCTGGCTGGAAAATTAAATGCCATTAGTGAAAAATCTCTTAGAGGGTAACCTGTAATTTTTATGAAAATGTATGAATTTATCTTCATATTTCTAATAGCAATAGCAAAATCTTTATGCATATATTTAATAAATATGTTTTATAGATACCTATGTAAAATAAACAACAGCAACAACAAACTGAGTGCCAGAAAGGTTGTAGCACCAATATACTCAAGCCCTGCTGGAGGCATTGCAAATTAAAACTACATTTTGAGAAGACTATATGGCAATACATAATAAGAGCTATAAAGATGATCACATGATTTTACCTGGTAATCTTACTCCTGGTTATTAAAGTGAAATAATTCAGTGTGTATTTAATGAAATTGACCTTACAGATATTATCCATAGAGCAATAAGTTATAAGGTAGTGGTTTAATGTGTATATATATATATTTACTCAAAGTAGAAACATGAAGACTAAAGAAATATGGGAAGATATTTAAATCAATCTTAAAATGGTATTTATAATGACCTAAATTGTGTGAGCATATGTATATAAATAGAGACTCACTGGAAAAACATTAAAAATGAAATCTGTCAGAATGGCAAGACTATTAGCTAATTTTATCTCTATTTTCCCAAATTAAGTTGGTATAGGACAACTTCAAAGGTTTTAAAAATGTATCTATTAAGTTGCAATAAAACAAACATAGACATGTTCAAGACAGTTATCTAAATGTTTCTTGGGTACCTGGGGAGAGTGGTGTAAAGCAATGGCGGGTAGAGTACGAATGAGGGCAGAGGAGAGAAATGACAAATAAAGAAAGCAAAGGAATGAGAATCTCGGTGTGGCAGTGGCATCTCTTCCCCTCCCTGGGGAGTTGGAAGGTGGCCTCGGGTGATCATGGAGATCCATGGTTGTGGAAGCCCCATGTCATGGTGGGTGTCACATGAGATGATTGGGGTGGGCTGTGGTGACCACCCCACCTCGTTTCCTTTACACTGTCCCTGTGCTGGGCCATGACATTGAACAGCCTTGGGGCATGTCTGCAGTGGAAGATCTGAATTTAGACTGGTGACAGAAGAGACAACCACGTTTTCTTTTGTTCATACATTTGGTTTCATCGACACGTTAACCACAGGAGAGGGGAAAAGGCCACAGCGTGTAAGGTTAGCATGAGCGAGGCAAGGGAAATTTTTTTTAAAGAAAAAAAAGCATTGGTATTGCAAAGACTTTCCGTGATCCCACATCCACCCCGAAAGCCCCCTCTCACCACAGGAAGCCCAGTGACCATCAGAGGATAAAAGAGGCTCACAAGGAGCCAGGTCCTCACTCTTTCCCTGCCCAGCTCACCAGGACCTCGGCCATGAGACCACTCATCCTGGCCTTCCTTGGCATCTGCTGTCTCGCCGCGCATGTTGTAGAAGGTAAGTGGAGAAGTTGGCTGTGAAATGAGGAACAGGGATGAGAGGCAGGTGGGCACATATTTTGGGTTTGACTCAGGTTTCGATGGAGTAAACTGCTTTTTCAAGATAAGCCTCAAACTTCCCATGTGCAAAAAAGGAAGGATAGTTTCAACTTTAGAGAACTTTGTAGATTTCCAAGACAGAGAAAACTTGGTTAGTATCTGGGCTCCTACCCTTCCTAATTGGATGATTTTGGGTAAATTTCTTAAACCATTCTGGGACTATGTTTATCTATAAATTGAACATAACAGACATGCTCTGTTAAAGTTAAATGAATCTTATAATTTATTTATAGTTTACTTATTTATTTTTACTTATTTAATTACATCAGATTTCCTTAGAAATAGTAATTTTTTTATTAATAGTGGCTATGGTGGTGATGATTGTAAATGCATTTCTAGATTTCGCCCATTTAATATAAGTCCTGATAAATTCTCAAAATCTTTGAGAGTTCAGTCACAACGTGGGGATGGACTAGAGGACGTATGTTCTCTATTATTACTGTGAATCTATTCTTATACTGGGAACCTATTATTACTGTAATGAATGTTACCATTTATGAAAAATTTTTTGAATTTGTAAGAGACTATATGATAATAAGTGTTAACAGCTTGTATACAATCAAATAAACCTACAAGACATATCAAGTGAGATTCAGATATACTAAGCCTTACCTGAGGGTCCAGCAGATTATTTCTTAAAAGACCACTTTTTCCTACTGGCTGGAATTAATTTGTAGACTTATTACTTAGAATGCGATATCATAATCTGATCATGAATCCCTGAGGGCGGGGGTCTATGAATAAAGGTGGCAAAGACTGGAACTCCTTGAAATTGTAGACAAAACACAAAATATTGATGAAACAAAAAAGCTTAAGACTATTAAGTCAGGCCACATGTTGTTACGTGGCTGGCATTTTACCGAAATGATAGGTGTACTATTCAGTGGAGATCTGGGTTAGGGAGATGGTGCTCTGCTACAGGCTGCGGAGAGCTGCAGATTTGTCTACTTGGCGGAGCTCTGAAAGTCCCACTGGTGCTTAGCTTCTTATGTACAAAATGGGGCGAAACAATCTCTGCTTTGACTCAACTCTGCAACCTGAGTGAAGGCGATGTTTTAACACATAACACAGACACACAGCATTGCTGAGAATAAGGAAAAGGTTTTGTGGTTTAGAGTACACAGCAGGATTCTCTGGGGCTTGGGGAGTCCATGTTAAACACTTCACAGAAAGAAATATGGTTTCTTAAGGAGTAAGAGAAACAGAGAAAAAATCCACAGATTTCCCACTTCCACTGGGTTGGGAAAAAGTTCAGCATTAAAAGATAAATTGGCAAAGGCAGAGGGTAAAGAATATGCAGACTGGCATTGAGCGATGGGGAGGAGACGGAACGATGAAGAAAAGCAGCATCAGTGAACACCTTTTGTTTGGTTCTGTGCTTAAAAAGATGCCTTCTGATATCAGCGACAGCACACATCAAACGACCATTATCAGTGGTTACTATAGATGCTTTTTAGTTGCATGTTTCTCTGGAAGCAAATATCAGTCTGTACAGCTAAGGAGAAAACCAGCGCTTGGAAACTTATTAGATTTTTACCAAACCTTTAATAATATTAACTCTCCCAAGTTATTTTCCCTTCTGCAACGTAAGCTGGTCTGTAAACTTAACAGTTTAATTCTCCTGGGCTATTGCTATCAAGGGTGAATACTTCAGGAACTGCTTCCTTTATATATCTTGCATTTTACCATTTAAAATGAGAACTCTTTTACTTATTAAATCAAAACCAAGCTGCCCATCGACGGTTGTCTTGTCTAAATTACCCTAGCACATTACTCTTTGTTATTCCATTTATAGCACCGTACCGTTTATAAATATTTGAAACTATCTTCTTTGTTTATCTGTTTGTTGCCTGACTCCATCACTAGAACACATGCTCCGTGAAAATGGGGATGGTGTCTGTCTTAATTAGTGCATTAAACACGTCGGATGCAACAGGCACTCAAGACATAGCTGCTCTATAAATGAATGAATGAATGTCCCTGGGGCATGTGCTAGCCATCCCAAGCATCTTGATGAAAATTTGAGAGAGATGGATAACACCTTGTTATTTTCTTTCAGCATGAAATTCCTGAAACAATACTCTTGATTTGATTTTTTAATTAGTCAAACATTTACTAATAATTGATGATGTGCAAGAAATTGAGCATGCCCATGGGAATTGTCTCTTTCCCCAAAGAGCAAATGGCCTTATTTATATTCCTACAACATTTTTAGAGTACTTTAACAAGTGATTGTTCCTATGAACTTGACGATTATTGACTTATAGTTTTATTTTGTCTTTTCTTCCCTCACCAGGTGTGGGCAGCGAAGTCCCAGATAAGAGTATCTGTGTGAGTCTAACCACCCAACGACTGCCTGTGAACAGAATCAAGACCTACACCATCAAGGAGGGCTCCATGAAAGCAGTGATGTGAGTCTGTTTCCCCTACAGCTGGGCTAGGTGGATATACAGAAATGCCGTCCTCCTCAGGAAGAACAGGTCAACATGGAGAAAACCCTTAGCCAATAGCCCCTTTATTTTTCCATATTAATCATGTCTTCATGCAGCCCAGCCAAATCATGATTACAGAAAAATTTGGCTGCCAAATAAATAAGTCCTCCTTTCTTAGCAGAAGAGTCTGACTGGAAACCAGATGAATACTATGCCCAGTTCTCAGGGCTGGGCTTCCCAGGATTAGCCCACATGGCCGCACTGGTGTGGGATACTTGGCGTTGGAGCTGGCAGAGTGCCACACTTTAGCAGTTGCCATAGCTCAAGGAATTGTGTCAGTGTGTAGCCTACATGGTACCATGCTTTTTCTGGGTTCTCATTTTTAGAAGCAGCAGCTCTTTCTAACACACAATTGCAAGCTTTACCCTGAGAAATTAAAATAAAGAAATCACCTTTTATCCAAAAAATAAGATGAGTATGTTTAGGTTTGATAAGGAAGAGAATATGTAATATTTGCACTAGATATCCCCAAATGCCCTTTACTTACAATATTCGGTAGCACTGAACAAAGGAGCTGGGTGTCACCTGTGGATGTTTCTCCTTTTTGTTAAACTAGATAGCAGAAGAAAGGCGTTCATTTACGGTCTCACGGTTCTGAAAGACTATTTCTTCCAGTAAGATCTCTTCCTGTCTGGTCTGAACTTAACTCCTGGCCATGAGGCTTTGAGAATGTGGCTAATTTTGTCTATCTTTTCCTTGTATTACAGTTTTATTACCAAACGTGGCCTGAAAGTCTGTGCTGATCCGCAAGCCAAGTGGGTGAAAGCAGCGGTCAAGAGTGTGGACAGCAAGTCCAAAACCAAAAGTAACCTGCTTCAGACCAAGCCAACAGGAGCCCAACACTCCACAAACACAGCTGTGACCCTGACTGGGTAGTGGCCTTCCAATACCTTGTCCCCTCACTAGACGGCCAGTTCATTTCACTTTACAAGTTCATGGAATAATTAGGTTGTACTCACCTTTTATGAAAGTGCTGCATGAATCAAATTATTTTCTTGTATTTTTGTTTTTTAATGTCTTTCATATTCATTTAGATGTTCTAATTAATAAATATTTATTATCAAGAATAGTTCCCTAGTTTATTCGTTATATATGGGGAAAGGTAATATATTATTTATGTTCTGTTTCTGTCCTAACTGTACCTCTCTTTGATGGTATCCATGATGGGGGAGATTTTGACCAGTATTTATCAGGGATGGAAGCTGTATTCATCACTCTTGGATTCTAGATTGTAGTGGCTCTTTACACATGAGTCACAAGTTACAACTATGACAATGGCAACAATTCAAGATCTGTTTTAACTTGTCTTCATGCTAGAGTTGTATTTATAGAATAAGGGAGAAAAGAATTCCACTGCCATTGATCTCCCATTCAAGGGTCCACTACTCAAAAAGTGGCTTCACTTGACATCAACAAAATTCTTCTACCTCTTAATAGGAGAATTGATCTCCTATTAAAGGAAAAAACGTCAGGGCTTGTCATTTCTTTAATTTGTCTGGTTTGCAAAAGTTAGATATTTGGTGTAAAGAAAGCTATTCAGGTAGAAATCAGCACTTTTTGATTTGGGCAACAACCTCACCACCTTACTGTGACTTCTGTAATAGTCATTATTCCAGTTATCATATAAGTTATGCCTTACTGCCAATAAGCTTTTAAAAATTTTTTTGAATTTATATTTTTATTTATTTTTTACTTCAGCCTTCATAATTGCATGAACCAATAAGCTTTTAATATCCCAAATACTGTCACATGGAACATTTCTTGATGTGATGATGATTTGCAGTAAACTTTTAATTAAATGTTCATTTGGCTACTCAACACCCTGGACTCATTACATTGCTGACTTGTTTCATGCTTTTGGTTCTACTATCCAAGTAGCTGATGACAAATATATCCTGTTGTATCTGACTCTAAATAGGAAGAACTGACCTTGTCTTGATAGTTTTAAGTGAAAAGTCCTAGCTGTTGTCTAGTCCTGAGGGAACACTAAGCAACAGCAAGAATGTTCAGGGGAGAGCTGAAGGCAGCTTATTGAAATCTGCTCACTTCTACTCATGCAACTACTGAACCAGAGTGGAAACCATCAAAACGTTGCCTCTTAGCAAAAGGTGAGCTCGTTGCTATCTGCCTACAATATTTTTCAAAGATGATCTTAATGGAGACTAGGACTCTTGCTTTATGAGGGGTAGAAAAATACAAAGTCACGAAGCATAAACGGACTGGTTTCCTGATTGAGCTATGTATTTGTGTTTCCCAAATATCTCCCAGATCCTAGGGATTTACATGAGATAATAATAATAGGATGCATGGAAGGATATGGGCAGTGCTTGACCTTTCATTTTGTAAGACTTTTATTTTTTATGAAAAATAATTTTTATTGTGTAAGCAGAACTATTTTCTTGCTTTATGAATATCAACTCATTTAATCATATAACAGATTTCAATTAGAGACAAAACAACAAAGGCATAAGAAGGTTAATTAACTTTCTCAAGGTCCCTTGGTCAGTGAGGGGTAGAGTTTAGATTTGAACCCATGGAAGCATGGTTCCAAGTTCAGGCTTTGACAACTATGCCATGCTGTGTTCCTCTCTTCAGGAGACAGTTCCCTCAAGACCAAATCATATCTAAAGAACACATGAAGAGACTACCCAGGACTACACAATGTCCTTACCTAACCTACCTACCTCATTCAGTCATTCCATCAATATTTACTGAGGTTCTACTACGTGCCAGAAGCTGAAGATACCACAGTGAGCAGAACAGTGTCCCTGCTTTCTCAGAGATAATGTTCCGGTAAAATCTCCCCTCTTTCCTTTTCTCCAGGAACTAGAGGCTTCCTTTCATCTACTCACTCAAGCAGTGTGGACTTATTGTGTGCCTAATGCATTCCAGATGCTTTGCTGGGCACTGGAATTCAGTGGTGAAACTGTCAGGTGTTACCTTCAGGGAGCTTACTGTGGGGAAACACAAGTATGCAGATGATTTCAACATGGTGTAACATGGGCGATGATACAGAAAGCAGAGGGTGTGGGCTCTGGACACACAGGAGCAACCCTGGCAAGGTCTTGGCTTCAAGGGAGAGTCAGGACAGGCTTCCCCTTGAAAATAGCTTTTAACCCAAGACCTGCAGACTGAGTCAGAGTTATCCAGAAGGTTTCAGTGCATTCCAAGCCCATGGAAAGGCCTGCAGATGAGAGAAATCCTGACTCACTAAGGAACTGTAAGTAGTTTAATACAACCAAGGAACAGAGCGAAGGTTAGACAGCAAAGGAAGTAGGGGAAAAAGGGGAGATTAGAGAGAGAGAGGACATATCACTAAGGGCCTTGTCTGCCAGACCAAAGAGTATGTACTTTGTTTCAAAGGTTATGGGAAACGATACTGGCTGCCGGTTAAAAGATGAAGTGTACAGAATAAGACAGGAAGCAAGAAGCCAACCGGAAGGTGGTGCTGGACCTGGTGACATCAGGACTTGGCCTGGCATGGTGGAACATGTCTTTCCTTTTCTTCACGCGCCTTTCCTGCTTAGCCAGGGAGCACGCCAGTTGTGTACGACTGCCTGTCTCCGGTGGTGTGGCTCAGCAGTACCTGCCAAACGCCATGGGCCAGCGACTCCCTTCACCAGTTTTCTTGGCTGCAGGGAGCCAGAACTGGGATAGGAGCAAATATGGGGCTCACCTTGTTATTTGCATTATTTGTAATTAACCTAAGGTAAGGTCAGATCTGTGGGAACAAAATTGGAGCCAACCACCCATAGGAAGAAGGAGGCAGGGTGAGGAGTAATAAACTGGGTATGAGTGGGGCTCCAGAGATCCACAGAGGAAGGCTTTTCTAGTTAATTCAATGCCCTGAATATTTGTTGAGTATGTGCAGAGTACATGGGCACAGGATCTGGTCTGCTGTCACAAAGTCCACCACAAACACCAAAGCATTCCCACTTGGATGTTTCAAATGGGCCAGCTCAGGGCTTGCCTACTCTTGGGGACTTTTCTGATGATGCCAGGCGAGCTCACCTCCCCTCTACCATGTACCTGCTCATTCCCTGGGCTTACCTCCACTACTGCTCATATCACCCTGAAAGACCATTTTATTTCTCTTTATTTTCTGTCTTACTTAGCAGTTGGGGTAAGGACTGAGACCTTGATGTCTATATACCTAGTGCCTGGGACATCATAGGTTTCCAATAAATTTTTGTTGATAAATACTATCTTACTCTTCATTGTAGCAGCCATCATAAAAAGCTATAGGAATGCAGAAGAGAGGTTATTTAAGTCCACCCTGGGAATGGTTAGGAAAATCTCTGCAGAAGAGGTGACATAAAAATTGTACCTCTAAACCTGAGAAGAAGCTTTCCAGGAAGAGAGGCCAAGGCAAGCACTCCTGCTGGAAGGACCCACACGAATGACAGCACAGAGGCAGGGACATCAAGGCAAGGGTCGGGAAAGCACTTGTTTCCAGCATGGGTGGGTTGCAGGCCTCAGAGATCAGGGAGGGAAGGTAGCTTGAGGCCAGACTGAGAAGGCTTGCGTGCTGTGACAAAGGGTAGGATTTTAAACAGAGGGGCCCAGGGAGCACCATGCTCAGATGTAAGGAGGAGAATAACAACCCGGACGAGGGCAGACAAGGTGGGGGGCGCTGGCACTGTAAGGTGGCCACTGCACTGGTCCAGGTTGGAGGAGAGGCTGGCCGGAGTCAGGCTGTGGCAGTAGGGACGGGAGCCCCACTGCTGGAATGGCCGGTCACCTGCCGGGCGTGGGAGTGAACTGGTCAGAGGACATGAGAGACTCTGAGGGCTCCAGCTTGGGAGACTGGTTAGAAATCAGCACCACTGCTCGGTAAGGTTTTGGTCTAGTTTCCGGTGTGGTTACTAATAAACCCTGAAGAAAATAATGAGCACTAAGAAGAGGGGGATGAGGAGGAAGAAGAACCTAGGAAAGTGAAAAACTGGTTATTGGCCTTAGTACTCAGTAATTCAAAAGCCCAAACTACATTTTTACTCCCTTCTTGTAGACAATCCTTTTACAAGAATGAGGTAAAAATAAGACAATATCTGTGAAAATCTTTATGCCCCTCGCGGGGGGAAGGCGCATATAAAAGGAATACAGTGTCCACCGGGTGAGTCATCAGAGTTATTTTGAAAGGGCTTTGTCACCCGGCAGTGGGAGGCAAAGAGGAGCAGAGAGATGAATCCGTAATGAGAGAAGACGAGAAATGAAGTGAAAGAGTCCGAGTGGGGAGCAGGAGTGTCCACATGTGACTGAGAGGTGGAGTTTGATCAGAGAGGCTGAGGGAGGAGGCCGGAGGGAGTGTTCTTTTTTCTTTCCTTGCAGGGAGCTAGTGAAACTTGGGACAGACCGCTGAGGGGGAAGGAGGCCAGGGGAGGAAACTGGAGCTATCGTTTCGCAGGCTCGGAAGGACATGCAGAGGATTCTCAGCCAAGAGCAAGTTTCTCCCCACCAAAAGAAATTTCATCCAAATACGCGTGCTATGTTGCTCTCCTGCCGCACTATGTTGCCTGGAGTGATGGCTAAGCTTGTGCATATAATCTGCTGCCTCCGGAAGCTTCAGATTGTTCTCGCCAGGGTGGCGTTGCTGCATGAGATATTGGAAAGAAGTTTCATGTTCTAGAATAGGAAAGCAGAAGACCACATGGCCAGACTGAGATGCTCTTAGTGGGAGTCAGCAGATGTTGTGTGAAGAGTGATTCCCCTTTCACCGGAGCTGGAGGGGAGGGTTGGGCAGGTGAGGAGGTGGACCGGGGAGTAGAGTATGGACAAACCAACCCCATCAGAGGCAGTGTGGGAAAGAGGGAGGGGTCGTGGTGTGATCGCGCTCTCTCCCTGGGGCAGAAACTGCTGTGGTGGTTAGGAAACCTTAG